CAAGCTTTTCTGCATTCCTTTCCTTATCAGTTAACTTCATCTTTTTTCCTTCTCTCTTTTCATTTCCATTCCATTTTCGTTCTCAAAAAAAAGAAAAAAAGTGAAAAAATAAGAAAAATTATGGAATAGTAAAAAATAGCAGTTAAGAATGCAATAAAATTGCTAATGTTACATTTATTTTCGCTAAAATTGCATGTGAAACTTTAAATAAAATGGTACTACCATAGGATTTAAAAAATTTTTCCATCAATCAACACAAATAATATTTGTTAGTAATTTTCAGAATAGTATAGATAACTGAATGTTATCAGTGACAAAAAATCATTGCACTGGGTTCCATTCCAGTTTTCATTACTACTGGGAAATTAGACAAATTGATTATACAATAATCAATATAAATTAGACAAATTGATTATACAATAATCAATATAAATTAGACAAATTGATTATACAATAATCAATATTTTCATATACAAATAATCAAATTTTTTTTAATACCAGAGAAACTGTATAATACATCGAACATTAAACGGTCATCACTACTCTCTCGGAACATTCAGGGGTAATTTAGATGGTATATTAACTTTATAGGAATGAAAATATGTTAATAAATTTGAACAGATAGATATTAAGGATAACAATCACTGTTTATCAGTTAATTATCATCATAGACTATATGTTTACATAAAGTCTAAATATATGTTTGTTATTATTTTAATTTAAAATCAATTTGATTTTATCTTCATCGAAGTAATTTTTCTTACAATTTTGTTTTGTTGTATCATATATATGTATAATCTTATTTACTTTTGTACTATACATATATAATTCAATCTTGTACCAAACTTGTATGCAATCTTATGCGAAAATTGAAGTTTAATTTCGTACTTAATTTTAATCTCTAGCAATTAAAATAAGCTCTTGTAAAAATATTTCAACTAAAGGTAGCATTAAAGTTACTGGCAACAATGATAACACAATCAACCTGCATTTTCCTCCGGCAGTGTATTTTATTCATTGAAATTTAAAAAGTAAGCGGCTATTTACAAACTAAGCACTGAGTGATCGATGCTTTTCTTTGTCCTCGAAAAATTGAAACCATTTTTCTGTCCTTCCTCTTTCAATCTTTTTTTTTCTTTATTACTTTTTGAAATGTATTCTAAATTTTTCACTTTATGCTTGCATGATTTAAAGCTAACCCAGTGATTCAGCTCATCGAATCATTTTTTGTTTGCTTGTTTGTTCGTTTGTTTGTTTCTTTGCCTGCTTGTTTGTTTGTTTGTTTACTTGTTTATTTGTCTGTTTGTTCGTTTGTTTATTTGCTCGTTTTGTTTTTTCATTTTTTTTTTTTTTCAAAGGTATAAAAAGTAAAGGAAAAAGAAGGATGAATTGTTAAAGAGAAGGGATTGGATGGAATTAGCACACAATCTGTAACATA